TTGAAATATTCTTAATGCATTAAAAATTTGAAAATCAGTAGGTTCGATACGTTTGCAATTCACAAATTTGAAATTCTTTTCTGTTGTTCTCCTAAAAATATATATCTCTGGGGAAATGAAATGTGAACAGACATGAAAAAGAGAAAAAGGTGTCTCTATGAGAGCATATAAAAAGAAGTGAATTCATAAGATGGCTAGAGAAAAGGTGTGAATCAATGAAAGAACTTCAGAAAACAAGTGAAAGTGATTGGAACATCTACGTCGAATGATGACCAATGGAGTACCTGGCCTACTGGCTGGATTTCAGTGCAAGAAATCATTCACTTGGATGGATTTCAAAGGAAAAAGTACATTCGTCCACTTGACTACTCGAGAACACAACAGAGCGAACTTACAGTAGAAGTTTTTGCGCAAAAATGTGGATAATCGGCAGAGCAGATGGGTCTGTATCGACTCATCATCACGAAGGACTATGTTGTCGAGTTCACCATAGATGAAAATGAGTCAGAGTAAGTTGAGCAGAATTTAATCTTTATGAAAAGAGTGTTGAGGGAGCAAAAAGCCGAATAAATGAAAAATTGATTAGCAAATTTGATTGGTCCCTCACAAATACCTGAAAATACTCAGTTTGTGTTGGACAAATATTTGCTTGATTCAATGCGATGAATGTGTTTCATGCAATTCCGAATTGGTCTGTTTATGATGTTCTCGATGATCATGCACTTTCTCATATGAAAAACAACTGCATCGGCAACGATCACTATCAGATAGTGCGCGATTCTTTCCAATTAAAATCTTACTGTAACGATGCATCTGTTCGTGTGCATAATTTACAATTTCTTTTCATTGACAGCGTTGTACTCAATCAATGATCAAATATCTAGGAAAGCAACAGAGATCTGTTTCAGTGTTATTTCCGTTTGGATGAAGTGCAAAATTGTGAACAATCGTAAATTGTAATCATCCCTTTAATTCCCTTTAACTATCTTCGAGACGATTTATTCGAAGGCTCCTATGGAATCTATATGACGGCTAGCTAAATTCATGACTTTTTGAGTAAGAATAATAATTCATTTTGTGATCTTTTGAATAGGAATTCAAAATATGCCCTTTTGTTGATAGTATGAGACTTGAAAATCTGAAAACTTTTAGTCTAGNTTTAGTAGACAAAAAGGAGCACTTCGCAATGTAAGTAATCAAAAAAGCATTTGCAAAATTCTATTTCGTTGCTCAATCAAGCATCAATCGATGTTCGTCATATGGTTGAAGTATGACGAATGAAAGCAACTTGCTATCTCATGCACGTAATTTGAACAGCATTCAAATGTTGCGCATCGTTTGTTGAATGTACAGAATTGCATAGCTAATTGAGCGTATTCAATATCTTTTTGAGCGTGAAAACACGACAACGCACAAAAATTGATCTAACGACTCTAATCAACATCTTTTGTGTGCGTGCGATCGATGCTCTAATGGACGACATTCAAGAAGTGAGTCGTCACATCAACGATTTGTGACAACAATACAACCCTTTATTGAACATAAGCACTCTTCAGGCGAGTACGATTCCGTCTTCGAGAAGCTGTCAACTTTGCTACAGTATCAGATTTCATCCAAACAAGGTCTGTTACATAAGTGTGATAGCAATAAAGTGTGTACCATTTTTGGTCACCGAATGGCGAAATTTGCTCTAACTGCTATTGAGATCAATGTCGCACCTCAGATATGCATCAGTCTTTGAGAATAACCTCCAAGTGAAGGCCCACCCTAAGTGAAGGTCATCATCTCGATTTTTAAACAAACTTTCAACTGCACAAGACTAAAAGCCACTAATTTCGCCGATTAGACTTATTGTTCTATGGTTGATTATCACAAAATCCTCGTAACAGCTGTACGTTATCGGAACCGGAAACGTGGCGGCTATTAAAGGAATCAGCCTGTGCCACAAGATGAAAATTCCGTTCAGATCATTACAATTGATATACAGTTTTTTTTGGTCCCAACTTACCTAACAGAGCAGCAACTACACCACCTTTTACAGGATCGAGCATCAATGAATCCTTTTCGTAATATCGTCGACATCTGAAATTTAAGATCAACAAATATGAATAAATTTTATTGAATCTTCATCATCATTACCGAATAAACAAGACGGATTTTTATTTCGTACGTTAGAGAAACTGTTTGGATGGTTGGTTAGTTGAAGAAATTTTCAGTTTAAGCTAATTTGTTAAACGTAAATATATCGTTGAATTGGAACATAAAACTGGACAAAAGCGATTGAAACGACTTGAGCATACTGTAATGAACTGTGAATAAAATCCAGAATCGCTGGCAACTTCTTTTCGACGAGCGCAGTTCGAATCCATAAAAAATTCGGCGACAGTGCCCTATAAACTATGAATAGTGATTCGGAAGTTTTTATTCTTGTCACATCGATGAAGTAACTTGATCAGGCTGCTACGACAATAAATCAATTAATTTGGTATGTTAAGTTGATTCAATCCTCCTTTCACTGACTGAAAGTGCCACTTGAAAATAACGTACGTCGGCAAACGAAAACAACTGAGAGTATTTTGAGGGATTTGCGACATTACACGATGCATTGAGCAGAGTGGATACTGAAATGAGCTGCGGTGTTTCTGTTTCATTCGAACGCGATGAACTCACTCGTCCACATCTTTATCGATGACCGTCGTTTTCGCGAGAACAATCGCTGCCGACTGACAATTCTTTGAGATATTATGCAGAAGTGCGTATGTGGATCTCGATCCGAACAAACCCAACAAACGTCGTCTCAATCCATCCAAAAGACACTTCTCTACTGATGCTGCAATATCACCTCAATCGCAAAAAATGCAATACAATCAAAATTGAGCTCTTGAAGAGTAGCATAAACACAGACACACAAACTAATTGAGCAAAGGTACCGACCGCATAACGATGTAACATAATTACTGTTCACATGTATATTGCGTCGATTTACCGACTCCTCCATTATTATTTTAACCTTAAATTGAATCTGCTTACTTATAATAAACATAATTTTACTTTTGTTTCTCAAAATAAAATTATTCCGTAACTTTCAATCTATTTGCTTTGAAATTAATTTAACAATGCTTTACCCAATTATGTTCATTGTAACAATAGAAGTGTTTCGAGGCTGTATTAGAGACTTGTTCAGAAAATTTCTCAACAGAGAAAATTTCTTTTTTTAAAATTTCTTTGAAGAATCATTCGAATATTCATCATGAAAATTCGATCGGTGCAAATGAACAANTCACATAGAATAATTTGCATTCACATAGCAACTCTCTGCACTCTGATTACAGTTAAGAGGTGTTTTTGAAGGATCGATGATCAGAACATTACCAAAAATTGAATTCAAAATTGATATGATAGCATTCATTCACATTAAGCAATATTCAATCTACATTCACGTTTCGTCCGAATCAATCTTCAATGGTTACGTCTTTCAAAATAAATTCACACGTAGCTGAATGTTAATTGAAAAGAGCTTTGATAAGGAAGCGTCGAGTTTGATCATAATATGAAGAAAACAAGCATTTAATTGTTCGAAATTTCAAATTCTAGCCTCTTTCTTCAATGAATTCAGCAATTTTTCTTTGCGTTTAACGTTTTCATTAGCGATTTCAGTTGATGAATCCACCGTAATAATGCTGCCATTGGTTGTTTTACGTTCAATCGCACCCTCACTAATTTTGCGAGTCAGAATCGCGTTCGATTCACTATTCCGTGGTGGTTCTCGAGCACTTAACTGCCGTATAATCGGTGCAGAACTTACAGCATCCACCATCGTTCTCATTCTGAAAAGACTGTTGTTACTGCGAATGTTCTGAACATATTTCATATCATAGGTGACGTATGAACCCATGCAAAAACTCACAAGTGATCTTGCAACAGTCGATTAGCAGCGCCAATATGACAGAAGGACAAATAAGACTTAAATTTTGAACACTCGAAGCAAAGCTTCCCAATAAATGGAATGTTTCAGAGAATTTAATTTCCAAATTGAGTTCATTTTAATCTGGCAGACTCTCACCGAAATCTTAAATTAATATTCGAGAATGTGAAAGAATTAATCTCAGTTTGATGCGATCAGTGAAAAACTATGGATATCATGCTGCATTAAATGTTTATTTTTAATATGAGGAGACCGGAGGATATTTAGAAGAAATCGCTACAGAAAGAATGTTTGCTTTGAGTAGGAGCATAGACTCTTTCGAGAGGTAATAGATTTGACGGTTAACGTCAAAGATTTCAAGTGAAAAGATAGGCGAAACTGAACACAATATTCAATCTTACTATTCGAGAACATTCATTTACGGAAACAAGCTGGACTT